AAAAGAAATTCCTCACATGAAAATGTAGAGTATGATGGTATCAACATGAAAGAGAAAAAAGAATTAAAAAATATGAGATGTGGAATTTCTAGTTAATTTAAGAAGAATTTTTTGTCCCTGTTTGAACCTGTATACACTCAGTCAAATTTATTCAGATGCGTCAGTTGGTCTACAAATGCTACCATGAGAAACCAACTTGTTAACTTAAGTTATCAATTAATAGAGTGAAGACAATTTAACTCATATTAAAATTGGTATATTTGGAGTATACACTACTATATTATAAACTGCCAACTTATTTTGGTACTGTGATTTGAATTGAATGTTGCAGAAAATTCATTACTTTATTTAAGAGTCTTGACATGCAGATTGATGGAATCTACTATATAAGGTGCAAATATAAGCTCCGACCAGAAAAAAAGTGCCCGCGCGTCAATTGAGAAATGCCGACCCCCACACATATTGAAATTATGAATCGCAATGCCACTACCGTCTGCACATCTACACAATGAGATTATAGATATGGCAAGTGGTTAGTTTATAAAAGCAACCTGTCTACTAATTTAGTGTAATAACTTACGAATCGAGATTACACTAAAGGAGCTTGTTACTATACCATGATCCCTCTTTGCCAATTTTTTATTCCTCCACAACCACTTAATATTTTGACTTGAAAATTTGCATATATGTATATCAGAGCATAATAAAGCAGTTTATCTTTTCAAAATAATTTTTACGATTTTTTATGAGCTGTAGAGGGATGCGATCCCTCTTTGCCAATTTTGTCACATTCTGTCACAGAAATTTGGCTCTGGCAAGACGCAGCACAAGCTCTGGGAATCTGGCACTTTTGTCACTCTCAAAACAATCTTTACTCAATTTTAATTTACAACCACCATTAAATCTCTCAAGAAAAAATAATATAAGTACTTGTGTATAAATTATATACATGTGTAGTAATATCAACTTATTAACTTGATTAGAAAAATTAAAACTGCTAATTATAAGGGTTGCAACCAGTGGAAATAGCAGTATTCACAGGTTTTTAATTCCTCTATCAAATTTTTTGTAGAAAAAAAGAGATATTGTGTTTTAAATAGTAAAAATACACTCCCATGAATTTTTGTAGTAGTATTAGGTGTTGTGTTTTGTGTGTAAATG